ATATATATATATATATTATATATATGTTTTCACTGCCATAGATCATTTCTTCGTTTTCGCAACAACACAGTGACGAACTCAGTCTTGGGTGATTTAATTGTCGTAAAACTTAAAAGGCATCTGCTGATTAGAGATAACAAATACCAGGCTCTTAGAATAGTCAAAATCACTTGTATTGTTAAAATTTAATGTTCTCCGACACTGAGTTAAGAAAACTGAAATTCAAGGAACTGCATGCCGATCCAAGCAATGATATAATACTTTGTATACTAACATGAATCGAATGCTTGGCGCGACATCTTCAAATAGTACATTAGACACGCTAGGGATGTTGTTGAGATGAAAGCTCCTGTGAACAAGAAAATGATGAAAAAATAAAGTAACACTCGAGTGCTAACAAGAACATTACTGGGAGAGAGAGCGATGAAACACGGGTGCTTTGATCATATATCTAGGATGGCAAAACACTAGTAGACTTCCTTAAAAGATTAAGGTGTAGTTCAATACATGTCTAGGATTAATTTATAGTCAGTATTGAGTACTGAGTATTGCCTGACAATGGCAACAGTTATGAAATAAAGGAATTTTAAGGAAAAAAAAGGAATTTTAAATAGAATTTGTCTAAGATTGTAAACAAAGTTCACTGCCTATCACATGAACTGGGATCTTTGTGCAGAATTTGTCTTGTAGCCTTACTTTAGCCATCACCCCACCCAGGTATCTTGTGCATAGATCTATAACTTTACACACGGGCCCATAGGCCACCTGGGCATGTTTATGGAGTAGTTATAAACAAACAGTATATTATGACATCAGTACCATTTTATTTTCCCGGCGAAGTTCATATGCAATATGAGGCTTCATTTTTTCAAAAACAAAAAACTGCGGAAGCCATTTACACCCCTTTACCAAGTTATTTCTGGTAAAGATGTGTTTGAAATCGTTTGGACACAGAAAGTAAATCTCATCTAAGATTACCGGAGTTGTTCTATTACGCGGTGTGATACTCCCATTCGCATCGGGCGTGCTGGGGAATTTTGGTTTTAGCAGTATTGGCACGTGCCCTCACAATATTAGAGATATTCTCGTTTCACCTGTGTATTTTTTTCAAGTAAAATAATGGTTAAACTGCTTAAGAAGGCCTTGTTTTTGAGGACTTTCAACTGTAGTTGCACAAGACGTAGATGCTGGTATTTAGAGCAACAAAATAAAAACGTCAATTACTTACATAGACTTCAAGTTTTTGGCGCCTTCAAAAACTCTTTGTGGCAGATACTGGATTTTGTTGTCATAAGCAGCTCTTAAACAACAAGACATTGATCATCATCAACGCATTGGAATAAAAAAAATCATTGTACTTAAACTTAAAATAGATTTATCGCCTATTTCATTGGTTCCCTGTTTGGATTTCCCTCAAAGATATTCGAGATTGAAAAAAAGAAGAAATGTATTGAAAAAAATTGAGGCTACGATTCATTATATTAAAAATGTTTATCGATAACTGAAACAAGGAACGAAGATAAGTGGTATTAAACTAGAGGTAAGAAAATCAATGTATGTACTCACAAGTCTGTTAGATTAGACAATCCCTGGAACTGATCATGTGCCAGAGTTGAGAGGCTGTTGTTACTCATGTATCTACGCAATAGACAGAATGAACTAGCTTTACTTTAAAGGATCTTGAGTACGGTTACTTTTATTAGGCGAATTTTCAGTATCATTTGACTACCTCTCCATCAAAATTGTTCGTCTGATGTGCCTTCCCCCTGAAATGTGTGTCTTGAAATAGACTTTTGTAACTAAAAAATGGGACATAAGTTTATCGGTCGACATCAGGGCCTGAATAAGAGAGGCGATATACAGTCGAAATTAAAGGCTGCGATCCAAATCAGAATTGACTACATCTTGAGGCAAATGATAATGCTTCATTGCCAGCTGTGAGACTACTGATCCAGTCACTGGTACTGATTGACTAAATTGGTTATCACAAACGCTACTTACAATGTTGTCAGTTGAGAAAGATTGTTGAAACTTGGCAATTGCCGAAGCTTGTTATTGGACAAAAAGCTGTAGGAAGAATTCAGGAGCAAAATTCAAATTCACAGATGACATAATGAGAGATTACAGGAGGAGGAACTTTGTTTTGTTTGAATTTGTGTTGAGACTCAAATGGCTACCACTTACAGCTTTTTTAGCTGAGTAACATTGTTAAAAACATCTGACGGCAGACGTTGGATATCGTTATTTGACAGATCCCTAGAAATAAAATTGGAATGCAGTACGTATCAAGATAACAGTTTTAAATCAAGGGACCTGCCCGCCCTGCCTCGCCCCATGCAACAGGAAGGTGCTGAAATGTGCATGGTCAATGTTTAACGGATGGGTGTACAGTTTATCTATTTTGAACGATCGTGCAATTCGCCCATGAGCTCTCTCTCAACAATGGAGAATTATCACCAATTGGTGGTAATCAAAGATAGATGCCTCTTAACGCTGTAATGAACACATTAATAAGACCAGGGTATCTAAAACCAACTCAAGTTGAAGCTGAAAGTAATTGAGGTAGAGGGAAATAAAGGAATCTTATCTAAAAGTTTCCCCTGTGGAACTCACGGTAACTGGTGTCATGAAAATCAACAATACTGAAATTGTATTCCTACTTACAGTTCCTTGAGCTTAGTATTGTTGCTAAGAACACCCCGTGGCAGTCTTTGCAGCTGATTGTAGGACAAGTCCCTGTCGAATATAAACGAAGGTAACTAGTTTTAATTGGTTACCAGCTTGACTGGCTAGTCAGCAGAGAGCTGTAGTTGTACTTAAAAAATATGATTACAATTCTCTGCTGACCGTTTGAAGTAAATATTTTATGTCAATCATAAAGAAAAGCTATCTTAAGGATATTCCACAACTTCCCATTCTGAGGCAACCTCTCTGCTATTACTGTTTTTTCAAACTAGCATTCTTAATCCCCACGGTATCAAAGAACGCTTTTTATTCAACACTTTTCTTTTTCTTTTCCTCTTTGCCATGTTCCCGCCGATAGCGTAGCTCCACTTGTGTACATACTATAAACGTATGTACACAACCTACAATTCCTCCATTCGCTCCGACGAGGGGCTAACACTCGAAACGTCGGCTTAGTAACTCTTTACTGTGGTCACATTACATAATCAGCTTTGTTCATAAAACCAAATTATTCATTTTTCTGTAATCCTGCACCGATGCAGAACCACAGTTTCTTTAGAAACTTGCCCCCTTTAGCCATTTTATCTGCTATTGGATTGGAAATGATTAGAATAATGAGTACAAAAAGGGGCCTGAAAGATAATTTACAAAATGTAACTCACAGTTTTTCTAATTTAGACAAATCCTTAAAAATGTTTCGTGGCAGCTGTTTTAACTGATTGCCACCCAACCACCTATTATATGAGAACAGAAATATTACCATTTTCCAAGTAAGCATCATGTAATTTTTAAACAAAAATAAAATTACGTGACAACCACAGGTTTACTCAACTTCACCTAGCAATATACTTCTGTCAAATGAGACCCACCAGTCTCAATACTTTCGCATATATGAACACATGGCCACCACAAGGCAAAATATTAATCGTTGCATAATGTATTGTGGCTGTTTCAACTAACTCTTTGGTCTTGGACACTGATGATATATCAATTCAATTTCAAAAGATTTAAGCTTGGTTTTCACTCACAAGTATCTTAGTTCATCCTGTCCAGCTAACAGCTCCTCAGGCAACTCTTTAAAGTTGTTATTTCCCAGCCACCTATAATCCATTTTCGAAAACTTAAATGTCAGCATTTCATAACCAATTTGATGGTAATACCTAGTTTAAATGTAAAAATAATTAGACTCAACAAAGTTTTGTAAAGGGTTTTCCCAAGTTTTCCATTCCAGTAGGGATGGCAAACAACTCCCTTTTTCTCGTCGACAATATGAACATCTTCCCTTTATTCTTGATTCTAGAACTTGATTCTAGGGATTCTATTTATGCTGAGTCCAATATGGATTTCTGCCCCATAATCCCTTGGTGAAAAATCACCTTTCTAGATATTCTAAACGATAGCCATGGTAACTGTAACGATAAAACCAACTGACCCTCAGACTAGTTATCCTCTAAAGTATATTCTACTTGGTGAGTGTTGAGGTAGTCATTGTTTGTGTTTTTGTCACTAATCTAAATCTAAATCTAAATTTTTAATCTGCAAAGGGCAATACAGCCCATCTTCAGCAGATATACCCACCCATCCCAGGGGAAGGCATCCATCACACAGTAATCTCGTGAGTGGGAAATTAACGTCTCCTACCCCTAACCCTGCACGAGGCGGGGCCTACGGTTTATTCGTTCTAATCCGAGAAGACTAGAATGTCTATCCATTTCTTGATATTACAGAAAGGTAGCACATTCTCCTCAGTTATTTTAAGACCCTGAGTGTTGGTCCAGCCAGGGCTTGAACTCTCGACCTCCCGCACAACAGTCCGGCGCTCTTCCAATTGAGCTAACCAAGAGACGGTTACTTATTCCAAAAGAGGGAAAGCCACCTATTGCCTTGTTCTTTATTTGAATTCAGAGGTTGACACACAAGTTTCGACTTTTTCTCTGAAAAATATTGAGAAATGTTTTTTTTTTTTATTTCGACGTCTCAATCTAAACTGTCTTCCTCGCAAACGAGTAAATGAGTAGAAGAAACCACTGAACTCAAATCAAATAATCAAGAACTTTGTAATCATATGAAGTGAATCAATAAAGTTCAGATGCATTCTCTGGAGGGCAAAAAAAATTGAAACAATAAAGAAAAAAAAACAAATACAAATACAAAATGCAAAAAAAAGCGTCAATTCGTGAATTTTAAATCAAGCCATCCCAAAAAGAAAAGAGAAACTTCGAGTATTCCTATGCGATGATTTAATTCAAAATTCAGATCTTGAAATGATTTTTTTCTTATGTCCCATAGAAAGTAGTTAACTAGGGTATCCTAGTATGGGACTAATACTTTATGATATCCTATGAAGAAAACACCTTCGGTGTTCGAAGTAACCACTCCCAGCACAGCTTATTCAAAGACAAGGACAAATAAATAGTAGCGCCACATGTAGCAAGCTCCAGAGCAAATAACGTACAGATCATATATTTTTTGAAACTTGAACACATCATGAGGCAGCGACTCCAGTTTGTTGAAGTCCAGGGTTCTGTGGAAACACACACTTATTTTGTTTTTGAAAATGTCTTCCCTTGGGGCCCCAATAACTTTCAACCTATTATGCCACTCATAAGAAACGCAGACATGAATTGCAGTTGCGCAGTATTTCATTTCTTAAGTTGACCGTAAAGTAAAACTGATATCTTGCAGCCTAAGCATGTACAATACGGCGAAATCTGGCCATGGTTAGTACGTTAAGTCTTTTCTGCCGATAAAATGGATTTTAAAAAAGTCCAGCAGCTGTATCTTTCTTACCAGGCCGCCTAATCAGCACGGCACAGCTGATATGAAAGGTGTGAAAGATGACGAGAGACTTACCAAGGATTTTTCTTATAAAAGAACGCACGTGATGTTGAAATGGAAAATATGGTGCAATCGTAATACTGAACTCCTCTTCATGCTCAAGGGACCAACGCTGAATCACAAATGTGTATTTCCTAAGACCAATATACTACATGTTTTGTTTCAGTAAACAGAACAAATAATGAAACTAATTAGTTCACTTACAGATTCTTGATTTGACCATGGGGAAACCTTGTTTCTTTTGGTAAAAAATCAGACGACAAGTTCTTTAAGTTGTTGTTGTTCAGGAATCTGCATAGTGCAAAAATAATCGCATTAGATGGAATTTTTAGGGGGGAGGGGGTGGAGGGGAAGAGGGGAGAGATGTCTTATGTTATACAAATGACGCTAAGTCTTAATCCAGATTAAAAAGGATTTCAACAAAATATTTCCTTTACACCTTGTATGTATTTAGTCCTTGAGCGACAAAAACAACTAATAATTAGGTTTTCCAGTTTCAACGTAGCAAATATGTTAACAAAAGCTGACGTTTCGAGCGTTAGCCCTTCGTCGGAGCGAAAGACGAGGGGCTAACGTTCGAAACGTCAGCTTTTGTAATCGTTACGGTGGCCGATTTACCATTTCAACTTTGTTGATATATCCAAATTATCTCGTTACCCCCACCGACGCAGCCCGAAACAGTTTCTTTAGAAACTATCAGCGTTAAATATATTAACAGGTTATTGTTATTGGTATGAGAACAACACTGTAAGTCAATAGAATCCAGTCAGTCTTAGAACAACCACTGAGCAACAGCTCGCCTTATCAGGACACAAGCAACTTCCAGAACTAAATAATTAGAACATATCGATCATTTCTGATTACCTAAATTCAAATTTGTCGTCTGCATGATTTTTACTTACAGCTCTTGTAGCCACTGGATCTTATTTATGTCGGCAGGTAAAAGTTCCAATAGGTTATACGACAAATCACTATAAATGATAAAAAGAAAAAAAGAGAGAAAAACGATAAAAAGACAAAAAGAAAGAAAGAAAAAGCGAAAGCAAGAACGAAGGAAAAAAAGAAAAAAATGATAGACCATTTTTTTTAGGATTTTCCTAACTCCAAGAGTCGTTACCTACACGATTGCTAGTGGGTGATTTTAATTCGTTTCATGGAAGATAAGTGTTTTAAGGGCGTTGTTTTGAAAATATCGAAAGTCAGCCGTCAGGCGTAAATTATGATTTCTTCTTATTTTTCCCGAAGACCCATTTAAGGTAAACTTTTAAGAGAATGACATCAATAGCCTCGGTTTCCTTTCACTCTTTAAAAGTTTGCAACAGCTGGAAATTTGCTCGTGGCACTTGCCACAGAGGTCGTTTTAATTGAAATTTGGCGTATTTTTAACATGTCTATGTAAAAGCAAAACAAGTTGTCAAAATGTCACCTTGATGGGGTCTTCGGAGTTTGTTGTGAACTAAATCTTACAGAAGTGGAATTACTTTGTGATTTCAAGTGACAGAGTGAGTGAAAGCCAGCTTTGAACTCCCGCAAAACGTGGTGTGGTAAGAACAAATTAAGTGAATAAGCTCAGCCAAATAGAAGCCAGTCCTTCTTTTTGTCCACCTGGAAAATGTACTCATCGGATGGCCAGTAAAGACAAACCGTTCCGCTGAGAAAATCTATCGTGAGGCTGCGTATTCCAAATCTTACCACCATCCTAGATTAGTAGTCAATTTCACTAAATCTTGTTC